GAATGAGGAGGTGTTGAAAACGTCTCGAGCGAAACGCTTGTTTTCACGTGCCCAGGTCACCCAGGCGGACGTCTCACATGAAGATGTGTTGAGGATGTCTCGAGCGAACTACTTGTTTTCACGTGTCCAGTTCGCCCAGGCGGATGTCTAGCATGAGAATGTGTTAAGGATGTGTTGAGCGAAACGTTTGTCACGTGTCCAGGTCGCTCAGGCGGATGTCTGGAATGAGGATTTTGACAGGATGTCTCGGGCGAAACGTTTGTCCCCAGCACGTTCCGCAGCGCGTCCCCTTGGCACGTCCCGCGGTGCGTCCCCATGGCACGTCCCCTGGCATGTCGCTTGGCGCGTCCCTTGAGACGTTCTGCGGCGCGTCCTCCTGGCATGTTCCCCTGTCAATTAGCTCTGCGGCAGATACTATGTGTTCAGGCAGCTCGAGCTTAAGATCCAGATCAGTTCGGTCAGGACTCGGATGCACAGGAAGACTCGATCCACGACGCTATAGAGCACAACCGCGGCGCGGCACATCGCAAGTCAGCACGGTGCAGCACAGCACAGCCCTCGGCACGGTACATCGAGATCGATACAATCAGCATTGCAACCTGGCACGTTCCTTGGCACGTTCCGTGGGGCGTCCCTTGGCGAGTCCCCCTGGCACGTCGCGTGGCGCGTCCCCTGGCGCATTCCGTAGCACATCCATTGGCACGTTCCGCAGCGCGTCCCCTTGGCACGTCCTACGGTGCGACCCCATGGCACGTCCCCTGGCACGTCGCCTGGCGCGTCCCTTGGGACGTTTCGCGGCGCGTCCTCCTGGCATGTTCCCTTGTCAATTGCCTCTGGGGCAGCTTCTATGTGTTCAGGCAGCTCGAGCTTAAGATCCAGATCAGTTCGGTCAGGACTCGGATGCACAGGAAGACTCGATCCACGACGCTATAGAGCACAACCGCGGCGTGGCACATCGCAATTCAGCACGGTGCAGCACAGCACAGCCCTCGGCACGGTACATCGAGATCGATACACTCAGCATTGCATTTGCCCGTCACCCAATCAGGTGTCTTTGAAAACGTTGCCATGCGTTACATTTCTATACTCCTTTCCGGGTTCGTGGGTCGAGCATGTTTTTGCGGCAAGGCGTTTATCGGACATGCAGTCGAAACGCCAGTGCAGCTTGTGTCAGGAATGATCGATCGCCCTCCTAGGTCATGTTTCTTGACAATTTTCTTGGTTGACCCTGGTGGCTCGAAAGCACGACACCTGCTTTTTGTTTCTATGTATTGGACGCTCGCGTTCCTCATCGTCCCCATTCCTCTGGCAAACCGAGGGCCAGGATCAAAATGCTGAGCACGCTCAGCCCTGGGATCAGCCACGCCTCTGCCAGCACTCCGAGAGACGGCACGCTGGTCCCCGACAGCGAGCAGAACTCGATCTGGGGCCAGCACGGGCATGAGCATGGGCGAGCAAGCTTCGCACACACACACACACACACACGCACACACACACACACACACACACACGCACACACCCACACCCACACACACGCACACGCACACACACACACACACGCACACGCACGCACACGCACACGCGCACGCACACATCCATACATCCATACATCCATACATCCACACATGCACACCTACATGCACACATACCTACATACATACAGACATACATACGACCAACCACACGTGCATGCATACATACATGCACGCAGACATCCATACATACATGCATGCATACATACAGGCATGCATACATACATACATGCATGCATACATACACACATCCATACATGCATACACACATCCATGCATACACATACATACACATACCTACATACGTGCACGCAGACACACATACATACATACACACGTACATACATATACACGTATACAGACATACATACATACATACATACACGCATGTATTCTTTGCATACAGGCATACATACATACACATCCACATCCACATACACATACACGTACACATACACATTCACGTACACATACACATACACATACACATACACATATACATACACATACATGCATACATACATGCATACATGCATACATACATACACATACATACATGCATGCACACATACATACCCACATGCATGCATGCATGCACACATACGCACATACATACATGCATACATACATACATGCATACATACAGGCATACGTACATGTAACCATACGTACATATATACATACATGCATGCAGGCATGCACGCATACACACATACGTACATATACACATACATACATGCATGCATGCATGCATACATACATCCATCCATCCATCCATCCATACATACATACATACATACACACACATACATACATCCATACATACATACATGCATGCATGCATGCATGCATACATACATATAGACACACATACATACATGCATACATACACACATACATACATCCATACATACATACATACACACACATACATCCATCCATACATACATGCATGCATGCATGCATACATACATATAGACATACATACATACATGCATACATACATACATACATACATAATCACATGCATACATACATACATGCATGCATACATACATACATACATACATATACATATACATACATACATACATACATACATACATACATATACATACATATGTACATAAATACATATAGACACACATACATACATGCATACATACACACATACATACATCCATACATACATACATACATACACACACATACATCCATCCATACATACATGCATGCATGCATGCATACATACATATAGACACACATACATACATGCATACATACATACATACATACATAATCACATGCATACATACATACATGCATGCATACATACATACATACATACATATACATATACATACATACATACATACATACATACATATACATACATATGTACATATATACATATATACATATATACATATATATATACATACATACATACATACATACATACATACATACATACATACATACATACACACATGCACATATACACATATGCACTTTCGGAGAGATCCGTGCGGACTTCTTCGATCGGAGCCAGGGCGTGCGGAGTTCCGACAGTTTCTGCTTGTGCACTTTTTTCGTCGTCTCGAGAAAGCGGTTGGGGCGCAGCTTCACCGCCAGGAGCTTTGAGGGGTGGCTTCAGACCCTGAGATCCGACGCTCCACAAAAATTGGAGCAGGCGGTTTTTGGCTGTTTTCGGCCTCTGGGGCCCCTCGCCAGGCTTCGGGAGCGTCAAAAACGACTCAGGACGAAAAACTGGCCCTAGAGAAGTGGTCCAGAGCTCCGGGGCCCACGCATCGAAAAAAATGGAGCAGCTGGAGGTCTGGGGAGCGTGCCTGGACAAGGCCAGCCGGAACCACCGACCACGCCGCACTGGGGGTGGCAGCCACGACAACCCCAGGAGGCGCGGCATCAGCACCAGCGGCTTCAGCAGGTGCAGGGAAATCCGCAGCAGGAGTGGGGTGTGCAGCAACCGGTGCAGGTGCTCCAACATCCGCGCCTGCCCTGGGCCGTTCACGCGCGGGTGCCACCGACGCGAACATGCGCTGCAAATGCCATCAAACTGCGTAGCTCTGCCAGCTCGCCCTTCGACCGCAACACTTGTGAACGAAGTTCGCTGATTTGGGCATGCACTGATCCCCGATGAGTGTGATGGCTGGAGCTTCTCTGGGAAGCTCGATCAGCCAGACCACGTGCCGTATTGCGCTGCGCAGGTGGTGGTCACGCCGCTTGCGCGCAGCCGCAGAACAGCCCGCCGCAGCAGCGCCAGCCGGCATGCCGCGAGTGGTGCCGGGTGGTGTGAGAAGCTAGGGACACCTCGAGAAGACGCCCTCCAAAGCTGCCAGGGCGTTTGACCTTAATGGCAGCTCGAGCCCACAAGGGCTACGGGGGAGAAGGGAAGAGAAAGGAGGATTGGATTGTGCTTCGTCTGGAATCTGGTCCACCTGCCAGCTTAAAACGAATGATCTAGGCAGCGTCGAGTAAAACGGTGTTTTGGCGATGCCGTCGACAGTTTTCGTTTTGATTGTGTTTTGCAGCAGCGGCGGAACGAAGGAAAAACGAGGGACACGGAACACACGATTCAAACAATACGAAAACTAGCACAATACGAGAACAGTACGAAAACCAAGCGGAAATTGAAGCAATACGAAAACCCTGCAAGGATCTGTGCTGTCGACCCTTGGCTGGGAGCCTCGACTCCTGCTGGAGGCTGCCAGGCTCCAGACCGCCCCACCAGAGCAGTGAGGAGGAGAAGGGAGGAGGAGGAGGAGGAGGAGGAGGAGGAGGAGGAGGAGGAGGAGGAGGAGGAGGGGCAGGAGGGGCAGGGGGGGCGAGGGAGGAGAGGCGAGGGAGGGGCGAGGGAGAGGGGGACCAGGGAGGAGGGGCGAGGGAGGAGGGACGAGCAGTAGGGGTGACGAGCAGCAGGAGGGCCGAGGCAGCAGGAGGGGCGAGGCGGCAGGAGGCAATGCCCGGGAGCGGCAGCGAGAGCAGCAGCAGCTGCCGCAGCCGTTTCGGCCCGGGCCGCGCGGGGGCCGCCGTCTTGGAGAGACGGCCTCCGGCTCGTCTCGATCGTCCTCCTCGGGGGCAGCGCTAGGAGGGGAGGGCTCGGCTCAGGGGAGATGCAGGGCTGCGCCGACCCCCAATCGCCCACCCCGCCCAGGAGCGTGCGGTCTCGCTATCGGGGGCCCGTCGGCGATGGATCGGCCCTGTATCACCGATTCCAGGTCGCCCCCCGCCCCCCCCCAATGATCCTCGTCGCCCAGTTTGCAGGTCATAACTCGGGTCTTCGGCTGCCGTCCGGGACAGTTCGGGCAACCTCAGAACGCCCTCGGCGAGGCGCAGCTGCTGGAAGGCATCCCGAGGCTGGAGCACCGCCGAGAACCTACCGAAACTCCCGAGAACGTCGAACCCCGAAACCTCGAAGCCGTTCGTCCCCCCTAACGTTGCCTTTCACCTCCTCCTCCTCCTCCTCCTCCTCCTCCTCCTCAACTTCCTCCTCTTCAGCGTCCGCCTCGTACTCCTGTGCGAGCGTTGGCGGGTGCAGGCGCGCCCTCGCGGGGGAGGAGGAGGAGGAGAAGGATAAGGAGGAGGAGGAGGAGGAGGAGGAGGAGGAGGAGGAGGAGGATAATGATGGGGATGAAGAGGAGGAGGAGGAGGAGGAGGAGGTGGAGGAGGAGGAGGACCAAAGTGAACCCAAGATGAATCAACGACGCTACAATACACACTCTCGTCCCAAGCTCCCTCCAGATACGTCCCACAAATTATTATGTTTCAGGTCAAGAAGCGCACCTCTCAAAGACCAGCACCACATAGGCCTGCAATTCAGGTGAGAGCTCCGTTTGGAAAAGGAAGCATGTGCGTACTACACCGCAACTTCCCAACGATTATTAAGACACGCGCAATGGTATGATCAGACTGTTCACAGGGTGTCGGTTAAACGGCGCCGCCATCAATGTTACTCTTGCGCAGGGTCACACGTATTACGCCCATGAGCGTCGAGGACGGCTCAAAAGAAAGCCGTATCTTGAAGGGGAGCCGCCTTTCATCCGTGCAGCTGCGTCGTTTGTCCAGGTGCCTCGCTCGAAAGAGTTACAACATTCTCAAGTAAACGCCCAATTCGTGGAGAGGAACCGTCATTCGTCCATGTAGCCTTTGCATCCGTGTTGCATTTGCTCGAGCTTCTGGTTTTCAAGTTTAGAAGTCTCACTCGAAAGCTTCACTCTGAAAACGGCACCGCCCACAATCCCTGTAACGGCTGACAGTTTTTAAGACGAATGCGCGCGGCACTACAATGATAGCCCCATGTTGGGAAAGACGTGTAACTGCTGCAAGTTTTGAAAACGAACTAGCGCGGCGCTAAAGGCGAGAGCCCCACTTTGAAAATTAACAGCTCTCCATCCTTGAAGCTGATGCAAACCTGCACAGGCGATTGTGCGCGGCACTGAGTCGAGTTTCCAATGTTGTACAGGAGCCGCCCCCCAACCTTGAAGCTGCTGCGAACTGTCAAAACGAATGTGTGCGGCTCCATAGCGAGAGCCCCATTTTGAAAACGACTCCTCTCCATCTTTGACGGTTATGCAAACTAAAAATGCGAACTGCGCTGCCGCAATAGCCACCTTTTGAGAACGACACGCCCTCCGTCCTGGAAGCTGTTGCAAAACTTTGAAGACGAATGTGTGCGGCGCAACGGCGATGGAAACATGTTGGAAACGACCCGCCCTCCCTCCGTCAAGCTGTTGCAGACTCAAGCACGGCATGAAGGCTAGAGCCACGTTTTGAAAGCGACCCGCCCTCCATCCTTGAAGACGTTGCAAGTTTCAAGCTTCAAGCTCATAAATGGTGAGAAGCGGCCCGCCCGCCATGCCGGCACGTCTGGGGGTGCGACACGGAGGAGTTGTTCATATGGAAGAGGGATGGAGGGATGGAGGGGGCGGGATGAGGGGAAGGAGGAGGAGCAGCAGCAGCAGTGACAAGTCCACGAGATGATGATGATGATGATGACGATAAAAGCGCTGCAGCGATGAAGACAAGGATGGCCCAGATGCAGCAGCCGGCCAAACCAGACGACCTGGGCGACACGAAGAAGAGTCAGCAGATGAAAGCGATGTGGCCACGATAAAACAGCTACAGGATAATGTCGAGAAGAGGGCCGGTCGGAGACGTCGGGAACCAGTAAGCTCCAGACGTCATATAATGCGAGACACGTAAGAGGTAATCTCAACGAATCGTCCTGCCAGCTCACGTTTCTCTTGCCCCGAGAGGGGTCTTATGGCCATAAAGCGTTCTCAGATAAGGGGCCGGCGCAATTCACGCGAGTCTACTGCGCAATGAGGGCAAGGAGGCGCAAGTTGCAGCGAACGCTGTTGATTTTGGGTGCCTGAATCGATCGTGTGTGATGTTTCGAGCATGACATCATTTTTCCGCTCAACGCAACCGTGACTAGCGTGATCAGCTTCCTGATCGTGCACGTTGTTGCAGACGCTGCTGCTTTACAGTTTTCTGAAGGTGCGACAGACCTACCTCGTCTGTTGGATCAGTACCTTCCTGTCTGCTCCGCCAGGCGAGAATGTCGCCATTACATAGTTTGAGATCGACTCGAGCTTCGCTAGTATCCTTCTCTATATCGGTTGCCTCTCTCTTTCCTGATGTCTGTCCTGTAAGTTGTTGTTGCGCACGATAGCGCGTGCACGGTTCATGTGCTCGGCCCTGATGCCATATTCCAGCACGTAGCCATCAGTCTATGATGCAACGTTTTCGGCGGAGGTATAGTGGCGGCATAAGCGAGCAGATGCCTCTTCACAGTCTGCCGCCCTCATTGCACGCGAGGGATGCGCGTTGCTGAGAGGCAACAACGGCTTCCCCTGGCAGTGCATCGCGCTAGTATTGCGAGACTGGCCGCCGTGAGGAGGTACGCTGGCACCCTTCGCAGCAACGGAGTCCTGCTTGTGGAGTTCCTTGCGGGCGTGTGCTGCAGAATCCACGTGCCAAGAACCTTGCTCGTTGAGGGCAGAAGGCACCCGACCCCGCAGCTTCAGCTTGACTCAGCTCCGACCGTACAGGGGAGACGAACGACCAGGCCGAGTCAATGAAAACGTCAAGAGGAGGAAGTGGGAAGGAGAGTGGTGGGGAGCAGGATGAGAAGGAAGGGGAGATGGAGGGGGAGCAAAAGGAGGGGGAACAGGGGGAGGAGGATGGGGAGGAGGAAGGGGGGGGGACGGTGAAGGGAGGCGAAATGGGGGGATGGACGAGGATGAGAGGGAGGAACAGTGAGGGGAGAGGAGAGGCAGGAGGAGGGTGGAGGAGGAGGAGGACCAGGAGGAGGAGGAGGAGGAGGAGGGGAGGAGGAGGAGGAGGAGGGTACTGAGGGTACTGATGGTACTGATGGTACGGGATGCGTCCACGCCCCCTTGGCGCACAGGCCAACAGCCAGAGGCTCGCCTATGCTATCCTCCCCATCCCAATGAATGGAATCGCCCCCCGCGACGGCATTGGTCTCTTTCAAAGTAACAGGCGCTTCCTTGGTAGCAGAACCGCACAGTTTCGCAAAGTGATGGGGCGGCAAGGAAAGCAACATCCCGATGGCATAGATCGCAGCAAGGGGATCCACGGACGACGGGGGGGAGGAGGGGAAGGAGGAGGAGGAGGAGGAGGGGCAGGAGGAGGAGGAGGAGGAGCGGTGGCACCCAGGGAGGAGAAGGAGGAGGAGGAGGAGGAGGAGGAGGAGGAGGAGGGGGAGGAGGACCCCGCCGCGACTGTAGAGAGGCCGCGCGAGATGAGCCTCCTGACCTCCCTCCGCTTCGGCCGCCAGCCCACGGACAAAACGCCCGAGCTGCACTTGGCGCAGCACCGCGAGAGCCACGAGGCGCCAGTGCCCTGCCCCCCCTCGTCCTCCCTTGCATCCTTTCCACTTATCTGTATATCCTCTCTGTCGCACCCTCGGGCGTGTCGGTAGGACCGGCCGGGTGCTTCGCTTGAGAATTTCGTATCATTCATGGTTTTGACCCTTGAAATTTGCATTAGTTTCGCGGATGGAGAGCGGGCCCACGAAACATGTGATTCGCGCCTTAGCGCCGCGCTTATTCGTCGTAAGGCTTCCAGCCGCTTCAGGGATGGATGGCAGTTCCTTTTCACGATGTAGCTCTCGCTCTTAGCGCCGAGCACATTCGTCTAAAAGGTTCGCAGCTGTTTCAAACATTGGAGGACAGGACAGCTTCAAGGACGGAGGGCGGCTTCTTTCAGAATGTTACCCTCGCCTTAGCGCCGCGCGCACTCGTCTTAAAGTGTGCGACTGTTTCAAGGATTCGTGTGGCCGAGGTCTCAGGGATAGCGTTCTGGCACGATTGGGGATATCTCAGGACGCAGCAGTCACGGTGGCTCGCGGTGTTGAAGTCCTATGAACGATTTTCAGGCACGATTGAGGATTGTCAGGACGCAAAAGTACAGTTGATCCGCGGCGTAGACGTCACATGAATTATGTTTGGTGAGGATTGTGGGTTCTGGGACCACTATCTTCTAATGGGCCACCTCCTGCAGCGAACATACATTCTTGACGTTTCGCGTGGCCCACCAGTCCATCCACAAACGATGCAGAGGCGAGTTGCCTTACTCAGGGAATCGGAGGAGAATGCAGTAGATCAATAGCTGGGGAAGCCGTCAAACTGAAGTCATGGATCAGCCTGGTCAGAGCCAGGAGCTAATCGTATGCGCCTTCGCGGACCTGCCGAAAAGGCGGGGAAGAAGGACGATGGGGATGAGGAAGAGAAGGAGGAGGAGGACGAGGACGAGGAGGAGGAGGAGGAGAAGGAGGAGGAGGAGGAGGAGGAGGAGAAGGAGGAGGAGCAGGAGGAGGGTGGCAAAGTCGAGGAGGACGAGGAGGAGGAAGAGAGGAGGAAAAGGAGGAGGAGGAGGAGGTGGAGGAGGTGGGGGAGGTGGGGGAGGAGGGAGGAGGGAGGGGGAGAAATAGGCAGATGAAGTGGAGGAGGAAGAGGAGGAGGAGGAGGAGGAGGAGGGGGAGGCGGAGGAGGAGGAGGAGGGGGGGGAGGAGGAGGAGGAGGAGGACAATGGCGAGCTTGGGGGCTTCTTGGGGCGTCTTGGGGGCCTCTTGGCGGTCCCGGGGGCCTCTTGCGTACCTCGGGAAGCCTCTTGGGACCACTTTGGGGTCTCTTGGGAGTCTCTTGGAGGCTTCTTGGGCGCCTCTTGGGGCCTCCTTGGCGCCTCTTTGGGCCCTCTTGGGGCGCTCTTGGGAGGCTTGGGGACGCTTTTGGAGCCATCTTGGAGGACATCGATCAAAGAAGGGAGGAGCTTAAATCCCACCAGCCCTCTGGGCGCAGGTGGTCTAGGGCGTTTCCCTTTCCAACCTCCTGCCTTTCCCTGCTCGGGAGGTTTACCTCCCCCCCCTCCCTGCGTTTGGACGGGGGGGGACGGACCCATAGCAGCTTCCAAGATGGCCCAAG